CTGGTGCTGCGGCTCCTGACCCCGTGGGGCACATGGAGCAAGACTGTGATGGACAAACACTGAACACAGCAGAGGTGTGGGAACTGCAAAAGCCCTGGAAGTGGGTGCAAGACGGCGCCAGTGGGGCACCTTACCCATGGGGGAGAGAGTGGAGGAAGATGCCCTCTCTCCTAGGCAGGGCAGTTCCAAGTCACATGTTCCCAGTGGTGTGAAGTCTCAGTGTGGACTCCTAGCTCTGCACAGGGGCCGCTATCAAGAGCGTCTTTGTATTGAGCTTTCCGCCCATCGTTTCCTCCCACTTGCTCCCTAGGGTCACTTTAAAAACAAATTAACAAACATTAATAAAAAATTGCCCTTCGCACGCCTTTGTGTCAGCGATGCAGAACAAGATGGACGCTTTCTCCAAAGGGGACATTTCAGTACTCCCTGAACAGCAGTTCATGCCAGCTAGCAGTTTCACCTGTGAGAACGGCTGAGGCTTTGCAGGATTATAAATCTCATATGATGATTGCATAATCCATCATCTGCACTAATCTCGATTCATTTCACAAATTTTGTATTCTTTTTTTATAGTCTATTTTGCTTGTTTTCATTAAATTAAATGAATGCTTTTCCTACAAATACTCTTTTGTGGATTCTTGAGAAGGAGCATAAAGTCACTCAAATTCCCTTGAAAGAAGGACCCTATACACACTGTAGGCAAACCCACGGGATGCTAAGATTGAAAGTGGGGAGCCATTTCACCAAGAAGGGAAAAACGAGTGGCCTTTACACCTGAGACACCGTTTAAAAACCACAAAGAGAAGATGACCTTTTAGCTCCAACTGCCTGCAGTGCTCATTCATTAACCAGGAAGTTAACCTTGAGTTGGGGATAATCGGGATAATCGTGCAGAACTATGGATTTCTTCCCCACTACATTTTCTTTCATATTTTAATGTGTGGGTTTTGCATTTGTATCTTTATAACTTAGATCCACCATACACTTCAGGGAAGTCAAATGGGGTGTTGGTTTTCATGGCCATCTATCTTGTTAAACCATGGGCTTCTCATGTATTTTAAAATCCAAACAAGAACCATATTCTAGTCTGTCTGCAATCCTTCCCCTGTATTCATAGGAATGTGCTGTTACAGGAGACATCAACAGTTGCTGCTGTTTCTCTTTTAACCCTTCAGGCTTGTCACTGAAATTCAAGGCTCTGTGTGCAAAATTTTAGAGAGTTTTAAGAAGAAATGAATAGAAAGAATAATTCTGTGATTTATTTCCAGCATTTTAAATCATCTATTGTCTGGGCAGGCAGCAGCCAGATTAAAACCAGGTTCTGAGCATTATCAGTTAGACAAATATGTGTAAGTCTTAAATCCCTCATTTTAAAATGGAGATAATAAAACATACCTCCCCTAAGTCTGTGTGGATTCAATACAATATATTCACTTATGTGTTTAGCATAGAATACTCAGCAAGGGCTTTAATCTTTAGAGTTTTTAATAGTGTGATTATCGTCATCCTCATCTCTAAATGCCCAATGAAATAGAATAGAACAAAGTTCAAGTGTGGATTAATTACCTCCACATAATCCAAGGGTCAATCCCACATCTTCAGTTTTTTTAAAAAGTATTTTATTTAGGCCGGGCGTGGTGGTGCACGCCTTTAATCCTAGCACTCTGGAGGCAGAGGCAGGCAGATCTCTGTGAGTCAGAGGCCAGCCTGGTCTCCTTAGTGAATCCAGGACCCCTGGGGCTACAGGGAGACCTCGTCTTGAAAAGACCAAAAAAAATTGTTTTATTTATTATTTTTATTTTATGTGTGTGTGTATATTGCCTGCACGTAAGTGCACCCATGTTGTGCAGTGCCTGAGGAGGTCAGAAGAGGATGTTGCATCCCCTGGAACTGGCATTACAGACGGTTGTTAGCCTCCAAGTGGGTGCTGGGACTCAAACCCAGGTCCTCTGCAAGAGCAGCCAGTGCCCTTAACCACCGAGCCATCTCTCCAGCCCCACTTCCTCAATTTTATAAATGAGGAAGGTAAGAAAGTTCATACATGTTTTCTACAGATTTCCTAAGTGACAGATGTGGTACCTAAAGTCAACCTGCCTGGCAATATCCTCAAGACTTCATCTACAGTGATGCTATAGCATTAGAAATCTGTGAAACTAAGCTCTTTCAGAAAGCATGCTTTGCTCTTCAGATTACCTGTAGAAAATCTTATTTGCTAAGCACTACACTTTGCTCTTTATAAATCTTTAACTGAAATGTTTGAAAAGGGCTTAGATTCTGACTACTATCAGATGGTCAGCTCTGCATAGCCTTCTCCCTCTTGCTCCTTTTTCACTCTGCTGCTCGGAATATATACAGCCAAGAGTGCATAAAATTCTGTAGCGTGTTCTTAATAAAGTAAAAAAAACACATTTATTATCTTGACTCAATGAGATGGTTAAATTTTTGAGTTTTCATTTGTTAACTATAAATGACATAAAAGAGGAAAAATGGTGCACTTTAAAATTTGATTTTTTAAAATCATCAAATATCAGTGTATCCTCCCCCAAATCCTCTGGGTTGCTTACTACAGTGGTTTGTGACCTCTGTGGAGTCTTTCTTTACAGCCTGCTGTAATTTAATTTTGGGATAGAGTGTTGAGTCCTGGGTATTCTCAGCATCCCCTGTCTCCTCTGTCTCCGACTTTATTATCATCTAGCTGAAGCCTTGCAAGGATACGTAGAAATCGATCCAAGTCACAACCTGTGGTTCTAAAAAAGACTTCTTGAGTGTTTCTGCGAAAAGGCTCTGGTTCCTTTTGTGGCTAGAAGTCAGACACATGGCCTTGAGGGAACCGAAGTGCCGGCTCGTTTTGTGCCGCATTATTCTTGTCAGTACATGTGGTCAATCACGATTGCCAACTTGTCAGGAGTTAGAAACACCGTGGAAACAGATTTCTGGGCATGTCTGTGGGGAATTTTCTAGGTTATGTTCATTGAGGTGGGAAGGTGCACCCTAAATGTGGGCGGCAAGAGTGTGTAGTAAGGGAAAAGTAAATTGCTGCTCTCTGACTCAGTGCGACCTGCATGGCTGCCTCAAGGCCCCCCCTCCCCCCACTTCCCTGCTTCCTCGCCTTCCCCTCTGCTATGGACCAGACCCTCAAACTGTAACCCCAAAACAAACTCTCATTCTTAAAGATGCTGTTGTCAGGTGTTTGGTCTCAGTGAAGAAAAGGTTGACTATAGCATTCAACAAATATCTGGTAAGTGTCTACCAGGTGCCCAGAACCGCTCTTGCCTGTATGTATTGACACAATCTGTGAGAGAAACAGCTCAAGGAATGAATTGCTTATCTTGGCTCATGGTTTCAAAGGGTCCAGTCTATGTAGTCACTTAGAGAGGACTCAGCCTGTGCAGTCCCTTTGCCCCTGGAGTTTAGAACGTTAGGATGGCAGGAGGGTGTTCATGTCTCAGCTGACCAGGAAGGACACAGAGACAGAGATGAACGACGGTGAGAGACAGAGTGACAGAGAGGAGGTAGCCAGGAATATGACCCCAAGGATGACCCTCGGTGACCTACTTCCTTCAGCAAGACTCCACCTAAGTTTCCACACTCTTCCTTAGTAGCGCACCAGCCAGTCACCAAACATTTGAAACACAAGCTTACGTTTCATTTTCAATATGTACATAGATATTGAGAATAAAACAACATCCTGTGCTCACAGAACTAATATTCTGTGGACAGATTGGGAAACGAAGCAGACCAGCTTCAGTTCTAAATATTTCACTTGTCCACTCTGAACAGAATGAGAGGCACAGACACCAGGGGTGGTGGGTCTCTCAGTCAACCTGGAGTTCTCTGCTTTAGCTAGACTGGGGGGCCAGCAAATGCCACAGACTCTCTTGTCTTTACCTCCTTAGGAATGAGATTACAGACACGTGCTACAGCACCTGCCTTTTTATGTGGGTGATGGGGATCCAAACTCAGACCTTCATGCTTGCACAGCAAGTACTTCATCAACTGAGCCTTCTCCTGGGCCTTGCTGTGTCTTTTTAAAATAAATATAAGTTTTAATGTGCTTCACATCTTAAATAGATGCTAGAATAGCTTGTGATCCCAGCTCTAGGGAGGTAGAGGCAGACAGATCTCTGTGAGATGGAGGCCAGCTAGGTCTATATTGAAAGTTTCAGGCCAGCTGGGGACTACAGAGAGACCTTGTCTCAAAAAGACCAAAAAAATAAAATAAAATGAAATCCAGATTGTGCTGACACCATGTGACGGCCCAGCCACCTTCCTGGTGTCAGTTTTCTGATACACTTTGAATAAGAGCCACCCCTCACCCACCTATCAAACGTCCATCTGCCCTTTAAGACAGCAGTAAGGAAGTTTTCTTTAGGACAAGTTGATTGTTAACAATTTTCTGCTTGATAAGCTCATGAGCTATACAGGTAGTACACTTCTGATGATCTCCTCTAACTTTCATGAGGGGAACTACTACGGGAAGGAAGATACCACTTTAAAAATGCTCATAAAAGTTACAAAAATACTTTCCCAAATCTTGGGATTCACCAGGATTTTATGAGAATGGTTATCTGAAAAGATGGTGGCTATAGGCTGGGGGAGGAGGAGATCCTGGTGAACCATGAGCATTGCAGCCTTAGTTTTTATTTTAACCGAATTGTTGCTAGCACGTAAGTCTTTATATCTTTCCTAGATAAACCAGGGAGGAACCTCTGTCTTACCCAATTTTAACGAGAGATAATATTTGTACGTATTTATTGGGTATATCATTTTAAATGAACACATATGTAGCACGTGTAATGTTCAGGTCAGAGTAATCTCCATGTCACTCCTGACAATTCTTAGAGGTAACCAAACCCACCAAACAAACAAGAAGACACAGTGTTAGTTACCAAGTCAACCAATGGGACGCCAGACACTGCAAGCTGACCGCATTTGTAAAAGACATGCTTGTACAGTTATGAATGAATGGATTTAGTTTGAGGAACACAAATTGAACTCACCTGGTAGCTTTCCACAATTTTTTCTAAAACATGCTTCCAGTGCACAGATATCTCTGAAGATGATAAAACTTTGACACCAACTTCTGTGGGGGCCTCGCTGGGAGCTGAAATTTGATGAGAATGATACTTTTTCTGTTTTCTTAAAAATTTTTTTACCATGACCTCCCCCAACAGCCTCTGAAGTTCATGACCTCATCTTCTCTATTGTTGTTTTACACACACACACACACACACACACACACACACACAATCTACTGAGTCCATTTAGTGTTGCTTGTGCACACACGTAGTCTAGGACTGACCACTTGAGAGAATGTTACATTTGAGTAAGAAGTTCATATAAAGAAATTCAACTAAAGTTCTTTCCTATATGAATGAAATAGAACTATAATGTTTTAGAAGTAAGCTCAAAATTTTTATTATTTCTCCACCTTTATTGCTGCTACTTTACTTCATTGTTATTGGTGATGAGTCCACAAGAATATTCATGTGGATGAATGTCAGTGCACACTCACACAAATGCTCTCCACAAAACAGAAGAAGCTTCGTGGACATCAACAAAGTCTATAAGCAAATACGGTGTTTTCTTAGAAATTTCTCCCAACTGATATGTTTTCAAAAGTCTTTTGATATAAATTAAATTCATTATTTAACAGTTGTATTAACCAAAAAAGGGAAACTGATATTACAGAAAAATATTCATTAAAATAATTTTATCTTATTTGCTAATTGTATAAATTACCAATATATGAAAGCATTAATAAAGTTTCCCTCTATGTTCAAACTTCATTAAAAAGATTCAAGATCTTTGAAACGAGTTGTGACAGCTACTGTTTCTTGGGATCAGGGGAGCTTTTACACACCTAATCTTCCAACTGGGCATCAAATCAAGTATGTTTCAAAAGGCCTCTGTTCAGGAAAAAAAAAAAAACAAGCTAATTTACATGCCTGGTGAAATTTACAGAGAACCATGGGAGACCTTTGAGCAGGCTGATCAATTTTTATTGTCTTTCATTAAAAGGCCATAATCCTACTTAACGTTTTTAAAGAGTTTCTACACGTGAGCACTGTTACTTCTCCCTATCAAAGTAAACAAGCAGCACGGTGACTGACTTCTTACCCAGAGAAGAAAGAGTAACAACTTACACAAATTTCAGCATATGCAAGTTTTATGAGGCTCGTGAAATATTTATGAAAGAAATACTATCAAATACAAATGGTCATGACTAAACAGAAGAGAAGCCTGGTCTTTGACTATAAGCTAACTTTAGCATCAGATGAAGCAATAAAAAATTGATATTGAATAAAAAGATAACTTATAAAATACTTCTAACTTTCTCTCTGAGAGGGAGTCCTGTCACATCCCAGCTGGATGAACATAGGCAGAGGTATGAGGTGTAGCACTCGGGCTTTGCTTTTCCTGATTATAAATTTAAATTGTTTCTACTTCTTGGTCTCTAGACGGATCCAGCTGAGCTAAATTACTCAGATGCCTTCCTTTTAGATGTGTGTTTTAATGTAAACTTGTGTATGTGCAAAATTATGCTATACAACATATGTATGGTAAAATGGCATGATTGTTTTGAAAGTACAGATCATAAGATAATTTGAATATATTACATTTTTTAAAAAGGTGAAAACTAGTAAGTTTATGACTGAAGAATATATGTAAGAATTTCTGTTGATGTCTAAGGAGCAGCTCTATCTTCATTCTGAAGTAAAATGTTTCCAGGCTTGGTGATTCCAGCACTCTGAAGTCTGAGGCAGGAGGATTGCTGTGAGTCTGAGGCCAGGCTGATTTACATGGTGAATTCCAAGTCAGCTTGGGGTAAAGAGAGATACCTTGTCTCAAAAAACCCAAAACTGCAAGTTGGGTAAACCATTAGATTGGGTTTTGTTTTTCTCTAAGAGGACAGAAAAGAATTTTACAGCATTTTCATTTTTGAAGTGTTTCTCTGGCATACACCAAGAGAAACTTAGCTAAGAATAACAATGAAATCTCTCTTCGCTTTTCTAACTACCAAATATTAACACATTACATGAGAAAGGAGACATTGCAATACCGTACCTTTGTGTTTCTCTCTCTCTCTCTCTCTGGCATATGCATGCATATATGTGTGTGTATGTATGTGTATGTGTGTTAGTGCATGTGCACATGCATGTGTGTGTTGTGTGTGTGTGTGTGTGTGTGTGTGTGTGTGTGTGTGTAAAAGCCAGAGGTTGATGCCAGGTGTCTCCCGTCCACTATTTCTTTCTACCTTATGTTTTTGAGACATGGTCCCTTAAGCTAATTGATTAAGCAAAGCTTCTGCCCATCAAGCTCTTTCTTTGCTTCTCCAGCTTTGGGAAAATAGGCAGCATCTCCAATCCAGTCTTCGTAACCTGGGTGCTGAGGTGCTGGGGATCTGAATGCAGGTCCTCCAGCTTGCCAGGCAAGCACTTTCCCAGCTGAACCATCTCCCCATCCCCGTCTTATCCCTTTTGTTGGGTGTACACATGTGTGTGCAGGTACAGGCACACATGCATGCGTTTGCATGGTGAGACCAAAGGACCATCCTCAGGTGATTTCCTTAGTTGCTTCTCCACCTTATTTTTTGATACAGGATCTCTCGGTCAACCTGGAGCTCACTGTTTAGCTAGACTGGCTGGTCAGCAAATGCTGTAGATCCCTGTTGTTGTCACCTCCCCAGGAATGAGATTACAGACATGTGCTACAGTAGCTGCCTGTTTATGTGGGTGCTGGGGAGCCAAGCTCAGATCCTCATGCTTGCACAACAAGAACCTCACCCGTCTGAGGACTTATAGCTGGGCCATCTCCCAAGCTGCATCATCTAAAACACAAATATACGTGCTAATGAGCGTAGCAGTTTAAATAGGAAGTCACATAAATTAATGCAATTGTGTTCAATCTAAAACTGGGTGGCATTTGTATTTAAACATAGGGTCTTCAAGGAGTATGCTCGGCATATTGAAAATTTCCAGAAAAACAGTGCGAACCAGTGTCAGCATATCTGCCCCCCTGCCCAAATGGCCTGTGAGATGCTTTTCCTTTTAAAGAAAAATTTCAGTTGCCTTGTGAAATAGCTCAGCTGGAAAAAATCCTTGCCTTGTAAACATGAGAACCTGACTTTGATACCCAGATTCTATGTAAAAGAAATCTGAGTGTGAGGGTGCAGGCTTGTGATTCCAGAGTTGGGGAGGCAGAGACAGGCAGATCCCTGGGGCTCACTGCCCAGCCAATCTAGCTTATTTGATGAGTTCAGACCAGCGAGAAGCTCTTCACAATAAAATAAGGTGGATGGTGGCTGAAGAACAAACCTGAAGGCTGTTCCCTCTCCATGCACACGCACATGTGCACACACAGAAACACACATGCATGCCCCCCCACACGGACATGCAGACAGAAATTCCAATATTACACTATTATATTGCATAAATGCTGTGACTATACAAATTTTGAGTTAAAGTTTGAATTTTACAAATATGTATGTAGACAGAATTTTTAAGTAGTAGAGTTTATGAATACATAGACTCACTGATGTTAAATATGGAAAATTTGGATTACAAAATTATAATCAAGAGGCCAGAACTAGGGACCCTCAGCAAATTGTTCTAAGACTGGAAGATTTCCAAACTTCCAATGCCAGAACCTAAAGGATGAAAGGCTATTTTTTAACCATCACTCCTGTCACTTACATGGGGAGACTGACATTTTCAATTGGCTTATGACAATCCTTTCTTAGTAGACGTAGTAATATAAGATCTTAATGGACAAGCCCTGAAAGCAAACAAACTAGAAGCCTAGTTTGAATACGCCTTTTCTCGGTGATGGAAACTGGGCTTTCGTCTCGCTTACGTACCGTCTTGTGCTGAATTGATGACAGCTATGAGGCTGTACGGCCCATCTCCTTTGTTGTTGAATGCCTTAACTTTTACTTGGAAGGCGGTGGAAGGGCTCATGGTTTCATCTTTATGGACATAGCGACCTGTATCTGGATTAGTAACTGTAACTTTTTTCCATTCTTCTCCATCAAACGGTTTAAATGCCACTACGTAACCAAAATTGTTGCCGTAATGGTACTCTCTGGACAAAGGCTGAACAGAAATGAATTAAATAATTAGTAAGAGGTTTAGTGACAGTTAGCAGGGAAGACTCTTATGAGATTACAGTTATACCAGGAAGAATTCTCTTGGTGAAAATATACCTAGTTCATAAACTAGTGCTAGTTGAACATGAGGAGCACAAACATGTTCAACTGTGCAATGTCGCTGTTCTCCCAAGTGGTATCCATGCTGCTCCTTGAACACCTGGGCTCCTCCTGCCTCCACCCACCCCCTTTCAATCCCCCTTTCATCCCTCACTCTGGGGGTATAAACTTCCTCCCAGATAGTGTTTCCTCAGTCCTCAGAATCTTACCTTTTCTAGACTTTGCAGTACCCCATATGCCACTCCTGCGTCCCTGCTTTCCTTTAAACCTCTCATGCCTGAACGCTACACACTTAACTTCTTTATCTTTTGCATTGTCAGCCTCAACCCCTGTAAATTAAGTTGTGCAAAGCCAGAAGTTTGATAATTTTCCTTTTTATCCTTAGCACCTAGAGCAGGGATGAAGTTGTACATATTTAACAACTTCAGAACTGAGAGGCAATGGTAAGAGAGCTATGCGAAACCCTAGACTATCTAGGTTGCCATCAGAGAGAGAATTCTCAGAGGACTAGAGCGAAGGTTCCAGGAAGGAGGGGGTAACGCCCTTCTTCTGTGCAGGAGACAGGCTCTGGGAACCTGCCGAGTGAGGCTTGATTTTCTGTAACGTTCTCATTTTTTTTTCTGAAGACCTATGTCCCTTACAAATAAGGAGGTTGACAGTTTTGAGGTCACACTAGTTCTAACACTTGCCATGAAGCATTTTGAAGCCATTAAGATAAAGACTTAAATTACACATTGACTTTTTTCAACTGAAAATGAAAGTAGAGATGTCTCAGGGTAATTATCTTGAACTAAATATAACATAGTTGCTTGGATAAGCTTTAAAAGGAGGATGTTCAGACATACTAAAGTCAAAGATAAAGGCTGCACCTGGATGTGTAGTTCGGTACCCCAACAGGTGGTATTGGGATTGTCCAAAATGGGGCTCACATGGCTAGATAATGTAGCTTAGTACTTCCACAGAAATTTAAACTTTTTTTTCTTATTGAAGTTTCCCCACCTCAGACAATGGAGCTTAGAACACAACAGAATCAGCTGTGGGCTCAGAAAATTGATTCTCAGGTCCTTTCTCTAGAAACCTGATTCCAAATGTTTGGAGTATTTTTAACTTAGAATTTCTTAGGAGGCCCATTTCACTGTAAAACAGATGGCCAAAAAGTTTATGGAAGTCGTATCATATGGAGAATAGTAATGTGTGCTTTAATTTTTATAATATTTGAATTTTTGGATACCATATTGACTATAAAACTTAGGAATACCTATATGCAGGCAATACACACATACACATAAAATAAAAATAGTAAATATTTTTCTTTTTTTTTTTTTATCATTTAGACGGGTTTTTTTTTTGGGGGGGTTTTTTTTGAGGCAGGGCCTCCCTGTAGCCTCAGCTGGCCTGGAACTCGCTATGTAGACCAGGCTGGCCTCTAACTAACAGAAATCTGCATACCTCTGCCTCCTGAGTGCTGGGACTAAAGGTGTTGTCACCATGTCCAGCTCTGAAGAACTGATTTAAATGGCTACACTGCACAGGTGAAGTCAAATTTCATTGAATATCTACTTTTGGATATTATTATTAATACTTATCAATTTGATTCATGAAAAGAAGACTGTCAATCTCTCATAGTTCTCAGCATCCTTTGGAACCTATGCGGCACCCCTCGACTAACCTTAGTGGTTAAATACTAAAAATATGGAATGTGATGTATCTATGCAAAACATGTCCACATACACGCCATAAGTCTGACTTAGATGATTTGTAGCTGTCATGCTTTCTCCTTCCCCTGACTCTGCCACTTTGAAAATCTAGAGTCTGGTATCTAATTCTTCTTTGGGTCATGAAAACTGAATAAAATGTCTGAATGCCCTGGTGTCAGGTCCTTTGCATGACTTCTAAGGTGCTCAAGATCCATTACAGTAGTGACTGAACAAGCCGGCATCCAATTTAAAACTGAATTTGATGTCAACTTTGGGAACCAAACCTTCTAAGTATAAGATGTTCAGGGAAATTTTTATAAATTGTTCTTGGGTTAGCAGATCAAAATGGGTTCACAATACCTCTGGAACCAGGTAGCTGAGTGTTTAGTCTTCTAGGCTAACAGATCTGTGCCCAGCCAGAGCAACTGTTTTGTGTAGGAACTGTTCACTAAGCCTAGTAAGGCAATGAAATCTCATGTGTGTTTAAGGAAAAGAAGTAATTATTCTTATACACAGATTGAGTATTCATTTTTTATTTTCAACTTCTTTTAGGAAACAAAATGGGTTTGCAATTAAAAGCAGATAGAGGCCCTTCCCTGAGGTTTATGAATACTTACGGCCCATGTTATCGTCAGCTCCCGGTTGCTTCCTCCTCCGCCTCCTACATCCGAGGGAGCCACATTTGGTGCTGAAACGGAGAAAAAAATAAATATGTTTTTTGCCAATGAAATTCTTCTTGACCACAGAAAGCATGCATTTTTGATTCACTAAGCAAAGCAAGCCGCAGCAAGATCGTTCACCACACTCAGGAGCTGTGTGACGTACTTTTCCGCCAGCATAGCAATGCATCTGGAGGCCCTAGGAACCATCCCGTTTCCCTCCGCAGAGGACAGTGAACCGATTTCACTCTGCCATGCTTTTCGTTTTCCAGTGTCATTTAATGATTTTGAAAGAGTTTACAATTTCTGTTAGAAAAGATGTCTCAGCTCTGAGGCTTGGTCCCTGTTCACGTCCAGTTGTGCCGTTGCTGCGTCCGTTTTCTGCTTCACCATGTAAGTGAATGCTGAAATACCACACAGCTGCACCAACTGCCAATGTTCGCACACAAAAATATGAGAAATCTAATAAATGTAACATTGTACTGCCCAAATCCACTGTCCGCTCTGCAATTCTGCCCCAGCTGAGGCCCCAGCTCTTTTTCCCCGACTCCCCGACCCACCCACTTCAGTTTCCTTTGAAGAACTGTCCTGTAGTGTGCTTTCCTCTAATCCCTAAGCCACCACGCCTTCCCCGGACCGAAGTCTACTGAACTGACATACAGCTGTTTTGTACTTGACCCCATCATCACTTTTCAAAAAGTCACAATTTGTTTCTACTTCACGTCCCAGAAATTGCTCTTTGAAAAACCACATTGCTTTCAACTACCCCATCAACTGTCCAATCCAGTGCCTTTTTATTTTTCTCTCTCCTTAAAAGCCCTTGGGGGCAGGCACTGTGTCTTGTTGGGTACGTGGACTTCATCTGTAACTGAAGATGCGCCTTGCCTGTCCCTGCACTGCAGGTCCGTGTTCTATGGGAGACATGTGCTTTCCCACACAAAGGTGTCGGCCCTGTGAGGGATACCATCCCAAATCTGTTAACACTTCAAGGAGATGCAATGCCAGTTCTTGGAGTTCCCAATGTGCTTTCTAGCAGAACCCAGCCACACCCAGCTCAGAGTGCTCCTAGCAAGGTGACACTGAGCTGAAGAATACGACAAAGGACTGGAAATCAAAGAAGAGCACTCTGAAACTTCTTAGGTCAGCCATGTAAATTTCTTGGTGAAACACATACAGTAGCTGCCCAGAAACAAAAACACACACCTCACCTTATCTGCAAAACTGTATGATCTCCTTTCCCCTCATAGAGATTACCATATGGCTAGAGAGAGTTCACTGTGGGTATACAAGGTTGTTGAAAGATAAGTAATAGTTCTTTGGTTAAATAACTGTAAACTCTTGTTAAAAATATTTTATTATTATCATTTTTTTGTGCCTGCATGTATGTAAGTGCACTCATATCATGCAATGCCCTCAGAGGTCAGAAGAAGGAGTTGGATCCCCTGGAACTGGAGTTACAGAGAGTTGTTTGTGGCCATGTGGGTGCTAAGAATTGAACACGGGTCCCCTGCAAAAGCAGCCAGTGCTCTTAACCATGGTACCATCTCTCCAGACCCTTAAAATAACTGTAAACTCTTTTAAGCCCATAAACTTATATTCTAAGATTAGATCTCTATGTACCATAGAAAAGTGACAAAAAAAACATATTATCCTAAAATCAGTGAATAAATCAAATGTTGTTTAGTTCTAAGAATAACTGTAATGCTCATAGGCAGTCAAAATAATTTTAAAATAACCTATTATATGACAATTTTTGAATAAAATATTGCTACCTTTAGGGAAATATAGATTTGCCAAGTCATTTCTTTACAATGCTTTTCATTATAACCATTTTAACCTTTCTATTTACAACAGAGCTCATAGAGAGTGCATCTTCACAAAGTAAACACTTTATACTTTATGATGCTTCAAATAAGAATTTCAAGACTGATTCACTTTTCAAAGATTGCTTATTCGGCTCACGTTGCTAAAACAAGACAATAAAATCAGCATGGAAGGCAACAGTCTTTTAATACAATATTTTGCTCTCTTGCCTAGATTACTGACTTTTCCCACTTCAACAGGTTAGAGGAAACTTTCCGTAGAAGGAGCTGATGTATGCAGCTCGAGTCTGAGAACTGTGTAGTTAGCTGTCTGTGCACAGCCCTGCTCGAGCCAGAGGACTTCCCACGGAAGTAAATCACCCGAGCACAAGCAGGTGTCTGAACTTCAGGCTCCAGGCACTTAACAGGGAACAAACCAGGCATTCTTTCGGCAATAAATCATCCAAACAAACTAATGTTTTAAAAATAATAAATTACTAATGATGAATAAACAATATTTATAATTTTAATGTGAAAGGTTAAAAGCAGTGATATGTTTTAAATCATCCTTTGCCATCATTTCAGATAAACAGTGATCTCCTTATCATGTGTACAAGAAGGCCTGTGTTTTTCAGCTTATAGATCCAAAAAACTTCAGAAAATCAAGTCAATATCATGATCATTGTTTCCTGTGAAGAGAAACTATTATTTCCAATTTTCCTTTTGTATTTGAATTCTTAATTTGCAGTAAGCATTTTTTTGGGGCTTTAAGATTATATATAACAAGATACAAATTAGCATGGAGCAAGTCCTAAAACATGAAAACCATATAGTATCTAAAGACTGTCCTTTGCTACAAAATATGTTGACAAGTTATTTATTGTTAATTGGGACTTCAGCATGCATGGACATTGTTTTTTCAGTGTATACTTTTATTGATTATTTTTGTGGGCCTCACACAATGCATTATTATATTTAGATGTCCCTTATTAGCACCTCCCCCCATAGATGCCCACAGGATTTCACACAGTTTGTCATATATGTTAAGGCCTATTGAGTCAAATTATGTACCCAGATGTTCCTTTGTGAGAGTTCCTCCACTGAAGCCTGTTCAGCCTGTAAGTGTCACTCCCTTAAAGAAGATAACTCTCCCCCACCCAGCAGTGATCACCTGCCAATAGTTCCTTGGCTAATATTGGGGCCTGCTGCCCATTTCCTCCGTTCTAAGTTGGTTTTTATCTGATTGAGCTTGTATCAGTCTTGTGCATGTTGGCCACTTTAAGTAAAAAAGTTATACATCCATGCAACTTTCTCTTATGCAAAAAAAAGTTTTTATGATTTAAAACCTAAATGTAAGCATTTCAAAATGATTGCATAAATAATGTTCCAGTTTATGAAATCAAAGATTCAAGTGTAACATCTTATTTTTACATATAGATTCTTCTAAAGCATTTAAACATATAATTCTGAGGAGTTATTAATATAATTAAATGGACTGTATTGTGTTTGTATATTAAAAATAGATTAGTCCTTGCTTGGCAGTGAAGCACACTGTCAACATTTCTGGTGTGGCTCCCATTATAAATGGATGTTTTTCCAACTAGAGGGGAAAAATCATGAAATCTGAGTCATCTCATCCAGCAAATATTGCAGGTTTGTTTACTGTTCTCAAGTTTTCGTTCAAACTCTGTCAGTCAGTGGACTCATGATTTAAGAATAAGTCAGGCAGGACATTTGGTCTGGCTTAAAAGATTGCTGTAAACAGAAACCATAACACACAACAAAAATCCTTCTGAAGAACCCAAACCAATCATGTGTTACTTATTTAAAACAAGTGAAAGAACTGTGGCTTGCTAGTTGCCTTCATCCACACGTGAAAAACAAATATATCACTCCAAAACAAAATGTATCTGGCAATAGATTCTTCCAGAGCAAAGTATGACAGTCTCACTGTTGTTTAATCTTTCATTGTCTTTTTATCCATTAACTTCCAGTTATCAGAACTCTGTACTTTCCTTGTATCCCTTTTTTGTGTACATACAGTTCTGAGAACCAGCTGCATTAGTGTTAGGTTAAACACTAAAGATAACAATGTTAGGGGCTGGAGAGACGGCTCAGCGGTTATGAACCCTGGTTGTTCTTGCAGGAGACCCAGGTTCAAATCCCAGCACCCACATGGCAGCCAACAACTGTCTGTAACTCCAGTTCCAGGGGATCCAACAGCCTCTTCCGACCTCCATGGGCACTGCACAACATGGGTGCACTTACCTACATGGAAGCAATACACACATACACATAAAATAAAACTAATAAATAAATTAGAAAAAAAGTGAGCACAATCTATGTCCAGTCCTGCAAAGGTTCTTTATAGCATTATAAATTAAATACATGCAACTAATTTTAATTTTAATACGTACAACTAAGTTTTACTAATTTTCGATCTCTAATTATTAAAGTTTGCTGAATGAATTGGCGTCTACTAATAATAGATCCATCTAGATAGACTCAGAAATTGCTTTTGCATGACATACCTAAATTGGACACACAATAAAGTATATCATCTCTTAAGGAAGACAAATAAATTTATTTTTTAATATTTTTAATTTTAAAAATTTTTTAAATATTTTCATTTTATGAGTGCATTGCCTGCATATAGGTAGGTGGCCTCATGCTGTGCTCTTTTTAAATATTTTGCATTTATTACGTTTTTATGTGTATGAGTGTTTTGCCTACATGTATGTAAGTGCACCCACATCATGTAATACCCCCAGAAGAGGGCATCAGATTCCCCTTGAACTGGAATCATGAATGGTTGTTAGCTGCCATGTGGGTGCTGGAAACTGAATCTGGGTCCTCTGCAAGAGCTCAGCTAATGCTCTTAACTGCTGAGTTGTCTCTCCAGACTGAAAGGTAAGTATTTGTCAAAAGAAGTTTAATTAACTTGCTCATTTTCCACCATTCATGTACAGAGAAGTTGGCAACTTTAATTCAGGTCTTATAAGAATGACTTTTACAATATGGACGTACTCTGGACAAATAACTTTTACCCAACCTTGCAAACATAAACAAGCTCTCTGAGCCATGTACTCCTCTTGTGACCTGGGCATATAACCTTAAACCATCAAGATCCCTCCTCGTTCTCCACCCGAGAGTGTAATAATATATGTATACATAGTTTATATAGCAAAGCTTCAAAGCCTTGAAAATACTGCTTTTTGTCACTGCAAAAAATAAGAGAACTTGACAACCATGTTTGTAGTTGTGTGTTTCTAGGTGTAGGAATCAAAGGGAAATTTTCTTCTCTGACTTCTGCTTCACCATTTCATGCTGGAGATACTGTTTCAATGAAAGAATGTGTAAAATCCCTGTTCACGAGCACAGTTTCGGGAGAATTCTGACAGGATGGTTTCTCAGCAGTGTGAGTCCACTCCTGGCCTAAAAAATGGATGCTCGATTTGGGCTGCTCTTTATTAAGGCATAATTGTAATGAGTATAAACGTCTCAAGGTCTCCTAAGGGTTTAAAAATCCTTTGTGTTTGCTTTTAACTTTAGGTTTCATTCTATCATTAACAGCAGCTAATTTTTACATACCATGGTATGTTAATGATATAATTCAGTGCCTATAAAATTCATTTTGAAAACTGAAAACAAAAGTGAACCAGAACTACAAGAACAGAATTACATGTAAAAGTTAAGGTGATACACAAAACATGATATTGTTGATTGTGGTTTTGTCATTTCTCCTCCTAAAACTGATTTGAACCTGCAAATAAAAAACAAATTTGTGCAAATCAACCCAAGTGAAGCACTTCTGGACCCCACTGATTTATCAAAAGCACCTGCAGAGCCATGGCCATGTGCCCCATGATGGCACATGGCAAATGGTGCTTTTGTTATCGCTTGCAGCCAAAATTGTGACTTACCATGAACTACAAGCATGCCTTCTACTTCTGAATTTTGGAGCATCCATGTTATAATAGACAACTGAATCCTCAGACTACACTCAGATGTGCTACAAGGTCTGCACAGTAAGAAGCTGAACAGACAACAGCAGGTCCAGCTTTGGATGGAGTTCCCTCTTTCCACCACATAATAAGTCAGAGAATCATCCTTTCATCAAAAGGGAGATAGCCTTTACCCCACATGATGCATGCTGGCATCTTACAGAGAGGTTTAATAATGGTACACAGCAAGACAAACATCCCCATTTAGAAAGTATCTTTTGTGGGGCTGGAGAGATGGCTCAGTGGTTAAGAGCACTGGCTGCTCTTGCAGAGGACCTGGGTTCAATTCCCAGCACCCACATGACAGCTAACAGCTGTCCATATCTCCAGTTCCATGGGATCTGATGCCTTCTTCTGACCTCTGTGGACATTGCATGACACGGGTGTACTTACACACATGTAGGCAATACACTCATATACATAAAATAAAAATAAAATATTTAAAAATAAGAAAGTATATTTTTGTAAGAATGAAAAATATCAATGTCTAATTTTATCTATATTCACTTTTTTACAAAGCATTTTAAATGCTTTATAAAACCCAACACAAAACCAACACAGGGAGATCTATTGATTTTATCAAATTAAATATATTGAATGATTCCTTTAAGAAAATTAAAATTTACATGAAATTATTATAACCTTTTTATCTCAATAAATGAAATGATCAGTAACAAAGTTGACAGGTCCACATTTTTATAAGTATATTTAATTTCAAGACAAGGATGAGTAGCATCACGACTTTTACAGAGCAAATATCATGTATCAGGACTTGAATCTGAGCTTTGCCTCCCACTGCCCAGGAAGTTCAACTTCCTCATCTGTAAATTTTGGAATGACAACACTGGGTAAGGTACCAAGCCTACAATCACAGCATTCCAAAAGCTGAGGCACCAGGTGCTGGGCATGGTGGTGCACACTTTAATCCCAGCACTCAGGAGGCAGAGGCAGGAGGATCTCTGTGAGATCAAGGCCAGCCTGGTCTACATAGTGAGCTCCAGGCAAGTTGGGGCTACAGCTGTCTAAAAAGAAAGAGAGAGAAAAAAAATAGCCATGTCTCAGGAAATATTAACAGCCACAGGGTTAATTTCATAAAGTCCTGGGAATAAAGGAAGCTGTACAATTAGAGAGCCAGCACTGTGTCTGAGAACACACAGGGAGCACGTGAACTGCGGTGTCCATGAAAACCAGCCAGTGAAAGATCCTGAAATAGATTCTGATGATAGATGAATGAGTGATAGGCTATATTTTTCTGCAGCCTAAATAACTGAAGCATCACAATCATTGTTGGACAGCACCTTATAGTGAGAATAATACAGTTATCACTTCACGGCTGTATTTGTCGCTGGGCTCTGATGGCATTAAGAGGAAGTTATTTTCTAAGCATACCAGAGATGGAATTCATTCCTTAATAAAATATCATTTGACTAAAAATAATTGAGGTAAGACTTTTTAAAAGTGTTGCCCAAAAGAAATTTGTTAAAAGAACAGCCACTTCACAGCTTCCGTTTCATGTGCCCTGCAATCGTTTTCTCCAGCAAGCAGGGATAAGGTACAGAGACTGAAAATTCCTCGGCATCACACAAGCTGCTGGTGTCAGTTAAGCACATTGCTTCAAGACACAGTACTAGATATTCATTATTTTTATAGGCTCCAATAGGAAATAATCAGATTGAAGTCTTCTGAGATACTTAGAAAACATCTCATCACTGCTACTATGAGATTTAAAAACTACCTAAGATCGAGATACTGGGTCTTTATTCTTAGAAAACATCTCATCACTGCTACTATGAGATTTAAAAACTACCTAAGATAGTCACAAAATTCCTAAGAAAGAGGGAGGTCCATTTGGATTATGAACGCCAAAAAAAATACCTTCTTCCATTCTGTGAATAACATTTGCTTGAAAAAATGGGCACTTAGATAAGACACAGTTCATATTGCATCAATCAAGTGATCACAGAGCATTAATCAGAATCAATGAGATTAAAAGGTCTACATTTGAGATAGGCATGTTATAATGCTATCTCTGAAATATTTACTTAGTAACTTGGGGTTTTCCTGAAATTTTATTCTGAAAACGAATGCTTGTTAAAACAAATAAAATACATGATCTCTTGGTGTGAAGTTGTGTGGTCAAAACCACCAGTCAAGTCATGCACTGTTTATTTATCTTCGTTTTTCAAGAAGGGTAATTTTGTTCAGTCTAGCACACAGAAGCCATCTGAGATAACAGAAAACCAAACAAACCAGGACTCTGGTTATGTGGCATTTGTGTTTTAAACTGCTTCTGCTTTGATTACCTCGTCCTCCTAATGATATTTCTGTGGGGTAAAGAAAAGGGAACACTTCAGGCTATTTTGTAGGTGGATATACTAAAAGTAATTCAGGCCACATCTCACTGTCCAGTTAAAGAAGAATTTCAAGAATTTCAAGAATTTCAGTCATAACAGGCAGGTGGGTGGGTGTTCAGACTCCTGACCAAGCAACTTCTGTTAAGAGAGAACCCACAGTATGGGAAGATGGATCAGACACATTTGGATTTGAACTTTGGAACTGAGAAATCAGGTTTAGATCAACTGTCTCTGAGTCTCTTGCCCATTAACAAGCATTGGTACAGCACCTCAAAACAAATCAGTTATATTAATGATACTTTTGTTTTTTATTTCATAATCTTCAAGTTTATCTGCAGGAAACAACACAGGAGCCTATGAGAGATACTTTACTGATGGCAGTCCCTGCGAATTACTTGGTTTTAAAACCTAAAAGACATTAAGATGTAGTTCTGTTTGGAAATCGGGACAAGGAGCCAGGGTAGGTGCCAACACAGGGATGAATGGTAGGAAGGAGCTCACAGCAGAATTTCAGCAACAGGCAATCTGTTTAGAATCTTCTCCCCCACATAAAACCTTTGGCAAAAAAGTTAAAATAAATGAACTTAGGGAATCTACATAATTGTTTTCAATAGACAGGAAATAATAAAAAGAATGACATATTCCAATCAGAGTGACATTTCATCTTGGAAACATGGGGAAAAGGACAAAAAGAGAGAGTGGAGGTTAGAGGAAGGCTATTTAAATGGAGGTGGCATTTTGCATAAAAACGTAAGCCTGAATTGGTTGACGTTATGAGAATGCATTCTACCTATTTCTTGTTTATTCCATAACTCCCCAAATGGACTCTTGACCCCCTCACCCCCATGGCCTGCTGGCCCTTCACCCCCGCTGCATACCCCACTCGTGGGGATTCAGCTATAAATGTCTTTGTGAGGCGCACAAATGGTGGCTCTTCTAAATCACTGAACCTGTTTAATACAGGGTCTTTCTGGTTAAGATACACGATTTACTGAAAGAGTATATAGTATACAAGAGTTATTATAAATATAAACTTTATTGGAATAGTCTTTGGTAGGATGTGAACTGGTTTGCACTTACTTCTTCCCAAACATTAATTATACAAAATACCAATAAATCTACTATGTCTTTTTTTGTTTTGACTGTATTGACATTATATACATATATATGTATGTTAGATAGCTGTATTTGTGTCTATATACATCCACACATAAACTTTTAGATGAATTACTTCAGGAAGTATTTCCAAATGCATTAAAGTGGTATTGTAATTCTAACATTTTAAAATTGAAAAAGCCTGGCCCACATACCAGCGCCATCTGTTCTGATTCTGTTGGAAGGTAAACTGGGCTCTCCTGTACCCAGCGTGTTGGTTGCCACCACTCGGAATTCATATTCCATCCATGGAATCAGATCCACTGCCTTTGCTGACTCCATATTCCCTTCAATGATTGGGGGATCTAAATAAAATAAAGACACAGTATGGTTATTGGTTGACCAACTCCTTGCTTTCATTTGACCCTTTTAGAGAGATGGCACATGTAAACTGGGTTGAAAAATAAACAGTTAAATGGCAGAATGTTAGGTTGAAGGGACTGAGAGATGAAGGCATGAATAGCAATCCTCAAAGAGTGAAATATATACATGTGTGAGAGAGAGAGAGAGAGAGAGAGAGAGAGAGAGAGAGAGG